GCCGCCTGTCCAGCCACTGCAACACGGAGACGCCAAAGAGCCGGCCAAGATCCTGGGCCTGCGCAAGACCACTTTCTTCCTGACGCTCAGCAACATCTTGCTGGCCGTGGGACTCGTCGTGCTCGGCGTCGTGCAGAGCAGAGTGTCATCATCACCCGCGGGGGGATTGGATACACAACAGTCTTCCTGTTCCGGGTGAGTGCACACCAGGATTGAATTCAAAGCCTTTATAGCTACCTACCAACGTGAAGACATGGTTAATACTAACAAACCCAATCCCGAGCCCCAGCTCCACTTCCCTCATCACCGGAAGTGCCACATCAACATCAACAGCAGCAGCAGCCACGGGGTCCACCGACAACGGCAAGATCTGCTTCGACACAGACCGGTCCATCACCTCAGCCGTCGCGCTAGGCGACGTCATCCCGGAGTGCCCGCTGCCCGAGGGCAGCGACGTCAACTACACGGTGCCAGGCACCAACCGTATGTCAAATCCCTGCTGTTTCTTCCCTTTTTCAAAGTGTCTCGGGAGTCACGGGAGTCGCTTTGTCCCCAAAGCGGCAGGTTTTGCTCCCGAAGTACTCCCGAGACACCTTCAACATGCTACAGTAGGCATGAAACGACTGACATTGTTGGGTAGTGACCTTTGCGCGCGTCTGCGAGACAGACTACCCGAGCCAGGATATGGCCCAGTTCCCCGTGCTCACCATGCTCGACTGCATCCACCTGTGCGCCCAGCTCAACCTGTACCCGGCCTCGGCCCGCGGCCGCTGCATGGGCGTGTCGTGGGTCTACGCCGACGGGCCCCAGGGCACGGGGCTGAGCTTCTGCTATCCCAAGAGCGCCATGAACGAGTCCAACAGGAGGGCCGCGACAGAGAGTGCCGTGCTCCTTGTTGACTAGGCTCGGCTTGGGGCAGGGATTATGTGTATTTAGGGTGTGGGGATGCGTCCGGGGTCTAATGCTGAGTACTGAGCCCATGTATAAACCTTGTCTATATGTATCAATAGGGACCTAGTAGATCAGCTTCGGCAGTTGGGCCTTTAGGTGATTGGCACGCCCATTTCTGGTATGTTCGGAATACGTTGATGCACTTTTCAACACAGGTCTTGTGGTTCAGGGTCCATGTGATAATGTTGTGTTAGAACTCAGAAGAGCACAGGGTATCTAGAAGGCGGGTGCGGCTGATAAACTCGACGTGAACGAGAGGTGACGGAAGAAGGAAGAGAGATGGTTGTCCCTCGGTCCATGTGGAAACAAAACACAAAAGTATAGAGAGAGAGAAACCATCAGGGGCTCGCTGCCCACAGTGCCCAGGTCCCCCAACTTATCACCCCACCCTAGCCATGAACAAGAATGGTCCTATATTCCAACCCCGGCATCAAGGTCTCGCTCCAGAAACTGACTGGCAGGTTGAACTCTTCGTCGTCAGGCTGACCGTCTTCCAAGTTGTCCACGCAGATCTGGACAAAGAGCCCGCGGGGTGTTTCGCCCAACTTTGGCACTGCTCCAGTTAGCCGGGTGCCCGTGAGATCGTCTCCGCTGCATGGGGATGATGGATTACACACAGTAACTGGAGGCCCTGCTCGAGCCCAGCCACTGGCCCCTGTGCCATCTCTGCTCCAGAAAGACGTTGCTCGCATGACGCGGTCGTCCGTGGAAGCCCATCAGGGCAATAATGATGGCCAGGTGACCCGAGAGACCGCTCGAGTGCGGCGCCGAGGGGGTGGTGTTCTTGTACGCGCTAGGCACCAGCGAGGGGATCCACGAAGCCTGCTGGCCGACGGCCCAGGGGTTGCCCGACGAGTCGGCATTGACGTACGAGACGCCGCCGACGTGGCCCGGGGTGAAATGCAGATACGACCAGGGTGAGCACCCCGGCACGTCGTAGTCGTGGTCGCAGGGGCAATTGCGGCGCATAAACGTGGAACCCGGCAGCGACGCGTCTCCGTGGGCCACGATCATGGGCAACAGCGCCGAGCAGGCAAACACGGTCTGGGCCCGGTACACAGCCGGCCACCCGTCGAACTCGTTGGCGGCCTGGTTGAGGCGGGCTATGCGCCCCTCTTGGCCCATGGCTGGCCTGTACCTAGAACCCTAAGTCAGCCTCTCGGCACCTCTGGTTTCAAAACTTGACCACATGCTGGGGGGTGAGGACGTCTTACCAGCAATATCCGGGGGCGGGGGACACGACTCCGTCCTCGTACCTGAACACTGTCCCAGGGGACTCGCCTACGTATGCCTCGGCTTGCTGCGGCGGCATTGTGTTGAGCCACTGGTCCGTCAAGGTGTGGCCTTGTCCCTGCAGCGGTTCATAGTTGACCTGAAACTCGTTGACGACGAAAAGAAAAGAATTCCTGGAGGTTCCCTGGCCGGCTTGTTTCTGGGACTTTGTTTTCGTACCCCTTGAGTGGCCGTCCGTGGTGCCGCGACGGCTTCCATGGCTGCTGGAACCATGCTTGTTGGGTTTACCGCTAGCCTGGGCCAACGTGTAGCCCGTCTGGTTACAAGTCGCGTGAGCAATATAGTCAGTCAATCAGCACATTCAACGTCCGGGAGGCGTAAGCCACTCACAGCGGCGGAGAACATGGCGATGCTCGACGGGCGAATGGCGAGGCGGTAGTGGTGGGACAGCAGAAGCTCGGAAGATGCCAGGCCGGTTATGTGGTCTGCGGTGTTAGTTCCCGGTGTTGTCCAGATCTGTCACAAACGACAGAGATGAGATGCAGGTCACTTATATATCAAAGTCGCCTTCTTGAGCTCGATGCAGCTCCTCTGGAAGGGGCACCATGCTGGACGGCAATGGAGCAAGCTCATTATGAATGCCCAACCCATCTTACCTTTCCGGTCCTTCACGACCCGTTGGGCATGAGAATCAGTCAGGCCGGGAACTACTAGTCAGGGGCACGGTGGCATTGGCGGTGAAGCTTCCGGGACATTGAATAGGGAAGCTGGCCACATCTGATTAGCTAGACGGTGGTAGAGCGTGGTCGTTGCTCCGGAGCCCAAGTTCGGCGGGATTGGTGTGCTTGCGGGAGAGGGCGCGGCACTGTGCTCCGATCCGTTGTCGAGAAGCCTGAGCCGACACACAACCACATTGGCGGTCTGGTTGTTCGGGTGTCACCACCCTTTGTAACGTACCCGGTAATAGGTTCGGCATCGTGACCGAAGCCGTGCCTGACCCGCTTTGTGACTCGGTGGTGTGCGTCGCAAGGCTGGCTGGGCACCGACGGCGGGAGAGTCGGATACCGTTGAAAGGTTGCCTCCGAGTCAGTGGTGTTCACAAGCACAGCCCGCACTTGGCACACGGCTGGCCGACATGCCAACACCAGGCTGGCTGAGAGGTCGGTTTCCCCTCGGTTAACGGCACGGCAGGTCCTGGGTACCCGGAAGGCTTGGTGCCAGGTCTTTCCCGTTGCCTCGCGACAAGCCGTTGGGCACCCTGGATGGGCGAGGTGCTCCATTAAAGTTGCGAGTCGGAGCCCACTGGCCGACACTCTTAAGTCGTCGGGGACGGCAGGCTGGGGCAGCATGGCGTGGACATCCCTTTGGCTGAAGTTGCAGGATGCCATAATTCCACGTCCTGTGTGACGCGAGAGCATTGCCTCGACCAAGGGAGCCTCCGAGCTCTATACCACAGTCGGAACGCAGACAAGCCGGCACACACCAAACGTTAGGTGGTAATAGTCGGAGCTGTCGGGTTAGCTCGGCTTTTCATGCCCGCGAGCGTGGGGGTTATGGCTGCCACAAGCGGCCATCCCCCCTCGGGTGCTTTATGGCAGCCGCTTCAAGCGAGGGACGGCCCCTTTTTCTCGGACGAAGAGTGGCTGGTTGTAAGAGTGTTCTGAAGTGAAATTCCGGCCAAGGACTCCCTTTCTACTGCAGCCAACCCACGTCGCACCAAAGACAGACAGACTTCGTCCCCCCATCCACACCGACGAGATTCAGGGCGTTCATCGCGGCCCACTGGTATGGCTGGTGGTTGTAGTGACGTGTCTCGCTTGATTCCTCGCCTGGTGAGAAGGCGAGCCAGCAAGTCGCCTCTTGCGCATGATGTGCTTTGAGAGCCGTAGGTCGTATGATGCAAGCGTGGGCGTGCCGTCCATCCGAGGCCGTGGGATGCCAGTTGAGGCGGCATGATCGGATCTCCCAGAAAGGGAATCCGCACCCTTCTGCGCACGGCACAGCCCTGAGTTCCGTCTTCTCGATGCCCGACGGAAGCAATGCTCGACCGCACTTTGAATTGCTGTGTCCAGCTACCTCCAGCCATGTGATGCGCTGCAGTATAACCACCCCGCTGCCGACAAATGATGCCAGTGGCTGATGTTGTGCAACCCTCCGGCCCCGTTCTCGAGACGGGTGCACTCACAGTGCGCTTGGTACTGGGCTGTTGCCCGATATCGGTTAGCACTGGATGTGAGGTATCGAGAGAAGAACAACAACCTGAAGTGCGGGTGATGCTGGCGGGTAGTGAACTTGAGGCGGTCGATGCAGGATACAGACTGACGAGCCAAATGTGGTCATCTGATGAGGGGGTGCGTGTCAAGCAACGCCCACGCTGCCCGCCCTGGTCCAGGACGAGTGGTTGAACCGTTCAACTTGCGGGAACGGGACAACGTCCCACTTGCAGGCATGCACTGAGCAGGTCGAATGGCCAGGAGATGCATGAACCGGATGGAGTCGTGTTGTCGTGTTTGTTGAGAAGAAATGGGTAGAAAACACGCGGCGTAGGCTGCGGTAGGTCCACGGTGAGTTCCGAGACTGGGAGGCCTGAGAGCAGAGAAGTTAAGGACTCTAAGTTGACTCTTTCTAAAGATTCTTGCAAAGTAGGTACCTTGCTAGGTAGCCACCTATATTGGCGGAAGGAGCGGCGTGGGGGCAACTGCCCTGCTCTGCAGTGATCAAAAAGAGTCGAAACGGCAAGCACACATGCGGCCTGTTGCTGAAACTTCACGAGCGAACGTGACTCAGAGGATGCACACGAGCAAAAAGAGACCTAATTCCTATACCGGGGTTCGAACCCGGGTCGCCAGAAATAGCCACCAAGAGATGAAAATCTGGAATGCTAAACCGCTACACTATATAGGATGTTTGTTGGTTTTTCCTGTTGCCGGTGTCGCTTGTCTGGCGCCGTGGACTCAGTCGTCGTTGCCTGCCGTACTGTGTGGTAGGCCGTCGGCGAGTTTCGGGCATGGCACTTCTATCCAAAGCGCCTCCTTCTCCATCCTACACCTTTTCCATCATGATGCCCGACGGGACTTGGCATCTCGTGGCGGACAACGGCAGATATGCAGGGGTGACGTCCAGGCCCCTGTGCCCGGGCAAATTGTGGCCTACGGTAGGAGCCTAGCTCGAACATGATGCTCATCCGCCAGTCGCTCATATACACACCATACTCCACAACAGACCCCCTTGCCTGTCCCCCAACGCGGACCACCCGCCGAAATCCACGCCTCATACCGCGTCTGGTAGCCTGACAGCAATGTCGCCGGATTGTGTAATGTACCGCACCCATGGCAGCGAAGGGTATTGGAGCTGCAACCGGCGCGGTCAGTAAGGCACGCACACGAAAAGGACAGACACACACCTTTGGCTCGGTAATCTTCAGGTAGCGTACCTGGATCCCGCTGGTGGTAAAGTAGGGAATCTCAAACTTGACCTGGATGGGCCTCTTGGCGCCCTTGCCGGGGGCTCCGATGCCGCCCATGCTGCCTCCGAAGCCGCCCGTCATGCCGCCGCCGTGCTCGTCGTCGCCGCGGACGCTCGGCAGGCCCAACTCGGCGCGCATGAGGAACTCCTTGCCGCCACCAAACTGCTTGATCTTCCAGACGATGGCGCTCTGCTCGGGCGCGTAGTGAACCGAGCCGACGTTGGTGCGGAAGCGCGGCGTGTCGGCGTCGTCGGGGACGGGCACAACGATCTCGACGTTGTTGGCGGTGCTGCGGCGCTTGAACTGGGCGCGGGCCTTGAGCATGTACTCGATGCGCGAGCCGCTGTGCGACTCGACGACGCACTCGACCCAGATGAGCGGCTTGACCTGGGTGTTGAGGCGGTACGACATGAGCTCGAACTCGCCGTCGGGCGGGATGAAGCTGATGGTGCGGTCGTTCTCGAAGCGCGACAGGCGCACGCACTGGTGGAACTTGACGTCCTCCATCTCGATGGCCTTGCCGCGCGTCGTGCGGCCCGTCGTCTCAAACATGACCTTGTCGTTGAGCCCCAGCCGCAGCTCGGGCATGCCCGACAGGTAGCACTTCATCTTGATGGCCCCCAGGATCTCGGACCGCAGCACGTTTCCGTTGGCCGACACGAGCAGGTTGAGCGACTCGACCACGTCGAGGAACACCTCGTTCTTGCGGTAGCGGATGCCCTCGGACCGCCACGACACGGCGTTGGTCACGGCAATGGGCGGCCGCGCCTGGATCTCGAGCTTGTGCGACTCCTGCGTGATGTACTCCTGCAGAATCTTGGACTCGGTCGTCTGCGGGTAGCCAAAGTCCATCATCTCGTCGAGCAGCTCGTAGATGATGACAAAGTTGTCGCGTATCGACTCCTCCTCGAGCGCCTTGAAGTACTCGGTAAACACCTCGACAATCTTGTGCAGAAAGAGCAGAATCTCGGCCGCATTGGTGTTTCGTTTTGTGAGCGCGAGCAGGTACAGGTTGTTGTGTCGGATGTAGAGGTACTGCGGAGCACGCCATCAGCTATCTTGTCTATTGTGTTCCCCCCGTACGAGGCTTGCAGCGACGACGTCTCTGGTGGCGGGGTCAGCTCTTCTCACGTTGATGCCTTCGTGGGAGAAGCAAGGTGGCACTGCTGATGACTCTTCCTCGGCTTCACTGAGGAGGACGGGGAACTTTTCGACGGCCGACATGGGGATGTCCCCCCTGTAGTTGCGGGCCAGGAGCGTCTTGCCCTTGAGGTCGAGGAAGAAGACGGCCGACGCCATGGCGAGGGGGGGATGTGCGTGCTTGCGCCCGAAGCCGTAAGAGCGCTTTCGACGAAACGAGGGAGCCGAAGGATGGATGGATGCTATGGAGCTGCGAGTCGGATGCTGGCGTCTATTGTCGTCGCGTGTGGCAATGTATTGTCGGGCGATCTCTTAGAGCTCAATGTTTTCAAAGTATTTTTTGCCTTCGTCCTCTTTTACGGGTTCGTCGCTCGTCAAGGGATATGCAAAGCCATGGATTTGCTGTTTCGCGATGTCGCCGTTGATGTGGCCCAAGCGACCTGCTGGAGGTGCACCAGAGGAACCCCACATCCCTGCAGGAAAGTTCCACGAATCCACCCAGCTGGGCGCGGCTGGCCCCGCTTGCCCCGCTACCGGCCAAGGCGAAACTTGACTCCGGCGTGGGGCTGCGCGTGCCCTGCCAGCAATATCAAAAAAATTTCTGGCAGCGATTCTTCGCTTCCTCTTCCTCTTCCTCTCTCCAACGCGTCCAATAGACAGTGCAGTCCATCGTACGCACAACAGGTGCCGGCATTCTGTCGAGTATCCGATCCGTGTCGCTGTTGATGATGTCTGCGATTCCGAGACGCGGAGAGGAATCCATTACGGTACCATAAGAGCTGGCCGAGCATGTTGCTTTTCGAGGCTGCAGGTTGCTTGGGCGGCGTCAGAGGCGCCGGACATGTTTGTTTGCACTTTTTTGCATGGGTGAACTGGCGGCTGTCGTGACAAGTAGCTTCGTGTGTCTTTCTTCGCGTGCCTCATGTCGGCGAACTGATTTCAAGTACATGTTCGATGAGAGCAGCACCGCACCAACCGCCAATGGTATGGAGGTGTCGTGTTGGGACAGCCGCGCACGCCGAAAATGCATGCTGTCCCAGGGCTCCGGCCGGGCATGGATTGTACGCCAAGCTGCTTTTTTATGCGATTTGTTTTCAGTCAAAGCACGAAGCCGATATCAACACAAATCGGCCATTGCCCTGCAATCCCTCTGGAATCCAGGCTCGACGGCATGGATCGTCTCATGCCGCTCGAAGTCGAGCCCAGCACGTGCAGGACTGCAAGCGAGTTGACAAATCTCAACAGCCTTTGCATGTGAAGGTGGGGAGCCGAGCGGCAAAGACATCCGGGATAATCTCACTAGCTCTAAGGGTCGCTGCAGCCCAAACTGCTCTGGCATGTGATCAAACAGAACAGTCGCAGTTCGACACCCACTCCAACAACACTCCGAGGCCCAAACAGCGTTTACAAGCTAACATAGGTAGTCCATTCTGTCGGTGGTCTGTCGGCATCGAGGTAGGCCGACAGCAAACCCCGCCTTTGCAGTGCAGGATGGCGTTCTCTCTTGATTCCGTCCAAGTTCTTCCTAGTCGGCGCGATAGCTTATGGATGTGATGGGACGGGACGGGAGGGTGACGCTGTGCCTGTGTCCAACCATCCATCCCTTTTTGAAAGGCGCGGCTTGCTCTGCCGGTCCCCCACCCTCACCGGTCAGCAAACCTCTGCTCCGATCTCAAGAGGGAAAGGCCCCAATGCACAGGACGTCAAGCCGGTTTCGGGCCCGTCGTGAAATGGGCGCAGAGTACTGCCGTGTAACTAGACGGGAGGTACGCGGACCTTACCTGTCCTTTTCCTAGGCCTCGGACGAGTACTGCCTGATGAGGAGACCAGCCTGCCCGGGGTGGAGAGACGGGAGGCTTCTGGAGACCCAATCTGAGCCAGTGGATCGCTTTTGGGCGCCTGACCTCACTGGCGAACCCGATGCCGAACCATTAGCGGTCACGGTGCCAACTGAAAAGCATGTGGGAACCTCTTCAATGCAAAGAGCGGGGCTAGAGATCTCTGCCGACTTCCAGGTTCCTTCCCCAATTGTTGCCAGTACTCGGGTCCCAGCTGACTCTTCAACAAACCATCTCTTTGCTTGATCCGAGGCATCGCTACCATCAGACGGTTTATTTGTGCATCGGCCGCTACACAGTACTAGCGAGCACGATGCATCTTGTTGAATTGGCGTCCACACCAAACCCTGGCGCTCGCATCACCAAACCCTGGCTGCATTGTCCGTCTAGCAGACCGAGCACAGCTGTCACCTCTCTCTGTGCCCAAGTAGGCGGCTCCTGCGACGCTTCCGACCACGACCTCCCGTCAACGCACTGGGTCCCCTCAACGTCGCCGAATTGTTCTTGGAGTCGCAAAGCGTTTGCCAATCAAAGCAGAGTGGCTCCTGGTTTTCCTCTTTCCAACCTTTCTGTTCACGCCATTGCGACGAGTGCATTGGAGAGAGACGACATTGAGCGACAAGAGCGCAACCCGTATCGGACGACCGAATAACCAGGCGACCACGCATCAGGCTCAGCGCTGTGATGCACCAATGTCGCCGTGTTCCTGATTGTTAGTGTCGCTTGGTTATTCTCGCGGCAATTCAACGCAGCAAGGATGGAGCCGAGTCACATGCTTACGGAGCACCGTTCACCACGGCCACGGCTCGCTGACGACCAGGAACAACTTGTCGCTGCCATGCATCAGCCAGCGACCCCGGATGCCGATACCCCGACGGCTCCGATGCAGACCTCGCCGAACCATGGCGGCCACGAGAAGTCGCCAGGCAACTTCCCGACTCCGTTAGATACCCTCTCCTCCCTGCAGCTCCCGCCCCTCGCGCTCTCCTTCCCCGACAAACCGACGACCGAACTGGCACCCATCCAGTCACACCATGAAAGGCCGGCCGGGCCTACGGCCCCGACTCTACCCCCGCTCTCTTCCGTTACAGGCACCTCGGCGCATGCGCCGCTCCCGAAACCGCCAGATCCCTCGCACCCTAGGACTCTTGCAGAGCCGACCAACCATTGGCCCAGCCTCAACCCCTTCACGACGTACTACACGCCTAGCTTTCTGGACCCCGTCGAGTCGTCGCCGAGCATGGGCTCGGAGCCGAGCGTGGGTCAGAGGGCCTCTAGTGTGACCCTGGATGACCCCGATGTGCGCATCGCCGCCGAGGCTCTGGGACAGATGAGGACAGGTGCGTCAGCATAGAAGCTCGGGTCGGCTGAGGTATGGTACAGCGGACACGCTAACCCCTTGTTCTGAATTCACAGACTGTGGCTCCTCCCCGCGAAACCATAGCGTCTCCTCGAACAAC